TAGGTTAGGGTTTACCAATAGGTTAGTGTTTCCAGTAGGTTAGTGTTTACCAATAGGTTAGTGGTTATCAGTAGGTTAGTGTTTACCAGTTACTCTCACCTCCATGATGTCATGTGACTGTTCTCTGCTCTCTCTCTCTCTCTGTGTGACTGAGAGAGAGCAGACTGAGGATGTATGAAATAAGAGAAAGTGTACAGACAGAGGATGTATGAAATAAGAGAAAGTGTAGAGGAGGCTGAAAAGTGTGTGTATGTAAAGTGACACACACACACACACTCACACATACTTAAGCCTATATGTGTTTTCTGAGTGTGTGTGTGTGTGTGCCAGCGGTCAGTGTAAGCAGACTGTGGAAGGTGGTGATGGGAGATGAACGTCTCTATGAAGAACACTTTCACACACACACACACTATAAAGTACATGAGAAGTTTGTGTGTGTGTGTGTTTCTGTGTAGTGTGTCGGAGAAGGAAGCTGCTGAGTGTGCTCACTGTTCAACTACTTCATGCTGCATAAGCAAAAATACTTATTGGATTACAACTTGGTGCTGTGTATGTGTGTGTGTGTGTGTGTGTGTGTGAGTGTGTTCTGTGAGAATTAATGTATTGTAAACATTTAGGTCACTATTAATATATCCAAGTCAGTTTAAAAAGTGTATGTTCGGTGTTTGCATTTTAGAAGTAGAGCAGAGTGAATTCACATTCAGACCGTGTGTGTGTGTGTGTGTGTGTGTGTCATTTTGCCCTGCTCCTGTCGTTCACATGAGCCTCACTTTGGTGCACTTTCAGAGCTCCCAGGTCCAAACGAGCGTGTCTGTGTTTAGGTTGGAGGTCTTTAGGTGCTCACGCCCCGGTTCCTCCAATTCTCCAAAACCGCAGCAGATTCCAGTTCAGATAAAGCCTCTTTGTGTGTTTCTGCGTGCACACAGGCCACCTTGTCTTTGTCAGAGATCACCATGTGTTGAAATATGTGTGTGTGTGTGTGTGTGTGTTTTAACTCTGGCCCATCTCCGGGGGAAAACCTTCCGTGAAGATCGGTGGCCTCTGCCATTTTGGATGGCATT